TGCCCTGGATGGCCCCTCATGGCACCAACTCTCCTGCCCAGCAGCAGGCTGCCAAGTGCTTGCCTTGCAGCCCCCAAGTGCACCTGGCAGCTGATGAGTTGCTGTGGCTGCCAGTGATACATTGTGGGAGTGGGCAAGGAAGAGCCCAGGAAATTAACTGGCTTTGGGAATGTTATTTATTTATAACTATTGCATTTTTTTTTTAAACACCCTTTTAGGAGTTAGGAGATTCTTAATACAGCGAGTGTTGGTATATTAAGATCACATTTCTGCTACTGAAAGGATTCTCTAGTCTGACTTTTACAGGAGATGTTTTGACAACAAAACTGTGCAGCTATGATTAGCCTGATAAAAGGGAGCCAGAGCTGGAGTATTGATGGTATGTGCATCCAGGATCTAGTTACAAAATGGGCTTTTAACCACATTCTCCCTTGTGAATTTGTGTTATCAGAGGCCATCTTAAAGGGAAAAAAAAAGAAAAAGAAAAAGACAGACAACCTTTCTTTTTTTGTTTTACGTGGGTATGTTTCTTGCGTTTCTTTATGTTTATGAAAAATGAGACATTAATAACCTTGACCAGAACCACACAGTGAGCAGGCAGCATTGTGCAAGCTTTGCTCCGAGCTCCACGCACCTCCATCAGCACTGAGAGCAGCAGCCAGTCTGCCTGATGGGGGACCTGGGCCTGGTGCTACCCCTGTGAGCACAGTCCACAAGTCCAGCAGTGTACTGAGACCTGAGGATTTTTAAAGCTTTTTTTTTTTTTTTTTTTCCATAATCTAATTTATTTTGAGAATATATTCTTAGAGCTGATTAGCTAGCATACTAAATCATTGCACTGCCTAACCCCAAAAAGCAACCCTGACAAACAATTAACAATAGAAGCACCATTGTGGCAAAAAGTGATGGATGGCTCCAGGGTGTAGCTTGGGCCTGGGCTTTGTTCAGAAGAAAGTTGCTGCTGCTAAATAAAGAAATGGGTAGTAAAAGGTGAGAGCTAACAGATCCTATCTGGAATAAAACTATTCGCTCTCCTTCAGGGTATGTTTCCTCATAGCAGTGAGCATCTCAGCAGAGGCCCCAGAGCCCACGGCAGGCTGAGAGCCAGGAGTTGCCATGCACCAGCCCTGCTTCTGCACAGCGGGGACTCAATGCTCTTGACTGTAGACAAACAGGGGCTCTGCCTGTTGCAGGCTGGGCGGTGAGGTGGGCCGCTGCTGTCTGCCCTGTCTGCATTCAGGACACAGCCATTGCAGCTGTCCCATGCCTGCCCCAGAGGCTGCTGCATGGGGAAGGATCTTGCCTTCCTTTCTGCTTGTTCCCTTGCAGAGTCTGATGATGCCAGCAAATGCACTTCATGGATGTGCAAAAACTCTTTCAGGTGCTGGATTATTAAAAAGAGAGTGCCTGGCAGTGTAAGAAAGTTCCTTTCTAAATCTCTATAACAGCACTACACAGCCATGTTGCATTGGCTGAAACAAAGAAAGAAAACCCTGTGATTTCTGCCGATTATCAGTGCACCAAATGACAAAACCTGGGACGCCATCTCAGCTAAGCAGAACTGCTGATAACTGCAAGACAAATTGCTGATAACTGAAAGACACGGGCTGGCTCTGGCCGTACAGGACAGACATACATCGCAGGCACAGTGCTCTTGGGTCACAGCTGAGGGCCAGGTTTCACCTGCAGACATCTTCACATACATCAGGATTGCTGATTCTTTTTAACCCCAATGGGTTTAACCCAATGGTTTCAAGTATGTTTTTATTTCCAAAGACTACATCCCAATTACTTCTTTTCTGACATCTCTAAGCATTGTTCCAAGTGTTGTATTACTTGTTGCTATGCTGTTAATAGAATTATCCATCATAACATCTCATACTGATTTTATGATGAAGAGATTATAAATCAATAGATAGAAGGCAGTACGAAAAAGACAGGTACATGCATACACATGGTAACTAAGTAAAGATGAGTTACATTGGAGCACTGGAAAGACCACATGCATGGAAGGACCATGTAAGGTCTATGAACATCTTAAATGGTGATTAAAATGTTTTAGAAACGTTGCCAAACAAGACAAACTGCCCTTCTGTAATCTGCCCAGGAATGTTATTTTATGTGTAGTGCGCATGTGTAGTGTGGCACACATACTTGCTTATATCTGGGTCACAATTTTTTAGCAACAGAGTAAGAAAAAGATATTGATCAGCCCAGTAACTGGTTTATCTTTAATTTCTGAGGAGGCTCTGCCACTTTCTGCTCTCACAGAAACTTAAGACAACAGTTTGCTTAGCCCTGACCTGCCCCATACTCTGTGCTGTGCTAACCAGCCACCCCGCTGGTGCTGGGTCAGACAAAATGACTCTAGCACCAGGAATAAAGAAAGGGCAGAAATGGAGCCTATTTGGCATTTGAGCAGCATTTGGTGTGCCAGACCACCACAGCATGGAACGGGATGAAATTCAGAGGCAAACTGAAAATGACCTCCCCATTCTTTTTGTGATCAGAGGCTAACCTGGGGAGGAGATTGTTCTCCGGAGAGTATGTTTTCAAGATGAGACTCTTGAGACTGTTTGTACTCATTTCTGCTCAAGGACTATTGAGTCAATGTGGCCATTTGGACTAAAAGCAGTGAGCCCCTCTCTTCCCCCCCTGTGCCACTGATACCACTTCAGCAGCAGCTCTAAGGCTCACAGGATGTCGGTTTGCAGGTTTGCACTGCACTAACACCGACGGCACCGAACCAAGCAAAAAATAAAGGCGCAGAAAACATCTGCTTTACGCGCAAGGGTGACATGTGTGGAGCACACGGATATTCCTTTACAGAAATGAAAGCGTGTTACACGGCTGCTCCGCGCCTCCCCGCCTCGCCCTACGCGCTGGCCGTGTGCCCACCAGAGCCGGGCGAACACCTCGGCACGTGCTCGCTGCAGGAGCGCTCTGTGCACAGCGCACCGCCGCTCGGTCCATCTCCGGCTGTCGCACACCTGTTTGCATCGCCCCCCAGCAACCCCCCCACGCACAGCTGCCAGCGCCGCGTGTGCCGCTGCACGGCGCGGGATGCCTGTCCCGGCACGATAGCTGGGGCCGGGCTCACGTTTAGCATCAACGCTGTACGTTCCTCGCTGATTTACGGAGATGATAGATAAATGCAAGCTGGAAGAACGCCGTTCTGCCTCTCTGAACTGCCCATTCCTTTTGCGGGGGCCTTCCCTCTCCCTCCACAGGGAAGACGTACCCTAAAGCCTTCTATTCATTTCCCATTAAGCCGATCCCATTCACGCACGCCGGGCTCAGGGCCGCTTCCCAGCTCGGTTCACACCGCCGGGCCCAGCCCCCGCCCAGCCGCCGGTGCCGTCCCGCAGGTGCCGTGGCCGCCGCGTCGCGCCGCGCCCGCAAGGTGGCGCCGTAACAGAGAGAGCGGGCAGCGCCGCGCGCCCCGCCCCGCCCCGACCTGCCCGGCCGAGTCCTGCTGCGCCCCGCGCCCGGCTCGGACTGCCGCCCGCCGGCTGCCCGCGGGATGGGGGCTCGGTGCGCGGTGGATGTAAAGGTGCTGTGAGACCAGATGGAGAGAAGGGGAAAGGAGAATAGAGGAGACGGAGCGAGGCGGGAGAGACGGCCGGGGGGCGGTGGAGGAGGTCGCCAAGAGCCCTCCGTGCCCTTTCTCTGGAGTAACCTCGTCTGCAGCCCTCCGCCCGCCGCCGTCCCCGCTTTTGGGGCGCCCCGGGACCGGCGCTCCGCGGAGGTGTCTGCGCTGCTTTCCAGCGCGGATCCCGGGCACGTTTTATTGCTTTTTGTTTTGTTTTGTTTTCAGAAAAACACTATCAGCAGAACAATTCCAGCACCACACCCCTGTTATCATTTAGGTAACCTCCCTGTTAGAAATATTTTAAGTGGATAATAAAATAGCCGCCACATCCGCGCAAATTCCCGCAACGAGGAGCGGCGATACTCCTCTCGGCCGCCCCGTGCGCGTCCCGTGGGGCCGGGGCATCCCGCGGACACGCGGCGCTCCCCGCTCGGCCGCGCCGCCGGGGCTGTCCCTATCGCTGTCATCAGCGGAACCGACGGGCGAAGTGGGAAAGGCGCTCCAGGTGCACGGACTGGGCGCGCGGTTGACGAAGGGCACCGTTCTCGCCCTCTGCGGGCGGAGGGCGGCCGCCGCCCGGTGCAGGGATGTCCGGCACTCGCCCCTCGCCTCCCCGCTTCGGCCGGGCAGCCGGGAGGGAGAGGAGCGGCGAGTTACGCGCGTGGAGGCAGAACGAGGGGAGGAGCGTGGGGCTGCCGCGAGAGCATAAAACCGGCCCGAGGTGCTGAGCGGCTCCCGAGCGGGCGGCCGCCGCGGGTCAGCTGAAGCTTCTGCCCCGTGCCGGCAGCAGCAGCGGGTGCGGTGCGGTGCGGGCCCGGCACGGCGGCCCCATGCCGCCCGGCGCCCCGCGGCCAGCAGGGCGCACCGCCGGGGCAGCCCACGGGGCGCCCCCCGGTGCCACCCCGCCGCGTCCCCGTCGCCTTCTCCCGGGCCGTGCCCTTCGGAGGAGCCGTGCCCTCCGCCCAAGGAGGATCGCTGTGAGCCTCCTGGCAAGCAGGTGATCTGTTTGCCATTTCTCGTTACCCTTCTTCCCACCTCCCCCGCCTTTCTTCCCCCTGGCTGGACAACTCCCTCCTTTGGAGAACACGCCCAAGTAGCTGAAGAAGAGAGAAAGGGAGGAAAAGAAAAAAAGAGAGAGACGGGGAGATACTTAACATTGAACCCGGGGGGAGAGCCCTGAGCCGCCGGCGCTCGGGAGGATCCCGCAGCCCCGTACATCGCCGGCAATAAAGCGCTGCGTGTGACAGGCATACAAATCCGGGAGCGAGGGAAAGGCGGCGAGAGGGGCAGAGCGGAGCCCCGCGGGGCCATGCTCGGCGGCCCCGGGCAGACCCCGGCAGGCAGCGGCGGGCGGCGCGGGGCGCGGCGGGGGCTGCCCCGGTCGGACGCGCTGCCGTGACCCGGCCCGGAGCGGGGAGCGAAGCCGGCCCAGCAGCGCCGCGGGCATCATTTCGCGGGCATCATTTCGTTGGGCTGAGACACGGCAAGCAAGGAATATGAACAGGAAAACAAGGCGCTGGATTTTCCACATCTTCCTGAGCCTGGGGATTGTGTATATCAAGATCGGGTAAGTAACTTTTTTTTTTTTTTTTTTTTTTTTTCCGCCTTTTATAACAATTGCGCTCCCTCTCGCTCTCAGCCTAACCTGCCCAGACCTGTTACTATTTAACTCGGGAAGTCTCAAAAAACCCGGTGGCGGTGATCACGATGATTTTGTAAGAGATAGTTAGAATCCCCGCGCCTCCGAGCGACCCTCGCGGCGCAGCTCGCACGGGGCGAAGCGACAGCCGGGCACCCAGCGGAGCAGGTGGGACCCGGAGGGGCCCGGTTCCTTCCGTGCCCGGCGCGGGGTGCCCCGGCCGCCCCCGACCCGCCGCTACCTGCGCTCGGGGCGGTCCCGCTCCCACGCACGGAACGCCGCACGCTCGGGACAGCAGCGGGTCGCGGCGCTGCCCTCCAGGTGCGCCCGGCCGCGGGCAGGGAGCGTGGGCTCTTCCCCTCCCTCTGAATGTTCGACTGGAGAGTTAGAACCCTCCCAGCCCGATGCCCGTGCGTGGCCCGGGCACGCAACGCTGTTTCATGCGCTTGAATTTACGAATGAGGAAGTTGGGTCCCGTTTTGGCAAGAGCCCATGCGCTCCTTGTCTCCGCTTTAGCCGGGGAGAGAGCGAGGGAGAGGGAAGCGGCGGTGGGAAAGGCGGGGGCTTTCCGGGGGCACCTGCCGGCGCCGGACTCCGCGACACCGCGCCGCGTATGCCTCCGGGAAGAGTCTCCCCGCAGCCACCTCGGTCTTTTGTCGTTGCAGGGGCTTTTCCTCTGTGGTGGCCCTGGGAGCCAGCATCATCTGCAACAAGATCCCGGGTCTCGCCCCCCGGCAGCGGGCGATCTGCCAGAGCAGGCCCGACGCTATTATCGTCATTGGGGAAGGGTCCCAGATGGGCATCAACGAGTGCCAGTTCCAGTTTCGCAACGGGCGCTGGAACTGCTCTGCCCTGGGAGAGAGGACCGTCTTCGGGAAGGAGCTGAAAGTGGGTACGTTGCCTCTCTATGAGCTGTTGGCTGGCCCCATCCGTGTGGCACTGAGAGGGCATGCGCTGGGGGCACGGGCATGGCTGTGGGAGTTGGGAGAAGGCAGCCTGCACGCATCGCTTGTGTCTGTGTACCTGAGGATGTGAAAAAGGTGCTTGGTTCTGGTTAAAGGCAGAGGTCTGAGACTGAATGCTGAGTGGAGTTAGAATTGCACTGCTGGGGTGCAGAGCCCTCAGCGGCGACTCTGGCCTGAGGTTTCTAACTGTTAGGACAGAGCTCCAGCAATCAGTCTCATCATAAGAGATTTTTACTGTGTGAAATAGTGACTCTATAGTGACTCCCACCAGGAATAAGTGGGTATGCTGCACTTTGATGTCAGGGCATTTGCAACAGGACTGTTCCTATCAATGGTTAGAAGATCCCATTTCCATCTTTTGCAGTTGTTACAACAGTACAAAATAGATTAGAATTCTTAACTAAAATAGCACTGGTAATGATAAACACGAGTAACTGAGAAAACAGAGCTGAGACTAAAACTCTCATGGCCCTATACTGCAGAACACAGGACAGGGTAGAGCAGCTTACTCAATATTTGTTGATTCCGCAGCACTTAAAGCACAAAGAGAGAGGAAAAGTATTTTCCAAATACAGGTATAGTCATTTTCAGGGCCACAGCTGAAAGTCGATCACTCACGGTATGCCGTTCCACGTCCAGAAGGTGAAGCTGGGATCTGTGGTTTCCAGCCTTGAGGTCTCTCTGCCTCCTCCCCATCTGGAAGGTAGATACAAAAACCACAGAGCCAGTCAAGCAGCGCTTTGCCTGATGGATAACACGGATGTTCTGTGAGAACCCCAAAGAGTTCTACAACAGCTGTGGCTTTTGGCATACAGGGAAACCCTCCAGACTGGACTGCCTTCCACGCGCCATTCCTTCATATATGGACAAATGGCAGGATCTGGCCCTAGAACCCCATTCTTGGCATTCTTACAAAGAGACAGTATTGCCACTCTGCTTGGGAAAGCCCAAGAATGCTTGGCATTAACTGAACGCTATTTTATCACGTGTGCACATTGATAGGCATATTTTCCAATACCTTGAGGTACTTAAGGAAGGAACACAAAGAGAAAAAAAAAAAAAAGCTAAATTTTAAAGTCCGGTGTGAGCTACAGGTCTTTCAACACCTGTGATAATCAAACACAGTGACTCAAGTAGGGTACGTGAAAACCACACTGCCCGACATTGTGAAACATCTGAAAATGGACCATTTATTCAGATTAGCTCATGCTTTCTGTTCCTTGAGCTGAGCTGTTCCTGTCAGTGATCCATGCAAGTATTTGCCACTTATGTCGGTGAAGAGTCCATTTGGATGGCTGACAGGTTTGGGCTCATTTAGTCTAAGAGTAACATTTCCTTAAGCAGAAAATGTGAGAAGGGTTTCTTCTCTAGCAAATCATAAAAGTGCGGAGTTATTGTGGTCTGTTGCATAAACAGGCACTCAGTTCTTCCACCCCTCCCAAAACTGAATTATTTAGCTAGTGGGTTATATTTAGGTCCTTTTAAAGAAAGTCAATATTGAAGGAAGTAGACTTTGATCTGTCTTTGAGGTGATAACTCTTAATATGTTCTATCTATCCATTACGATGCTAAGATGGATAGGGCAGATTCATCGCTGGTTTCAGAATGGAGTCAAGTGTTGAACATCATCCAAATTATAAAACTCATTTAAGGAATAAGCAAAACTTCAAATTTAAACAGCTTATGCATTTACTTTTAAAAATAACGTTCAATAAAAGTCACAAAGGGTTTGAGATCTGCAATGGTGAATCTTACATACATGCATGGTGCTTCAAATCCTAGGGCCCTCTAACTCCATGAAATACTACATGAACTGCTCAGGTTGTCTCCTTGTTCCTCTGCTCCTTATCTGTTGGCATATGTAGAGCCCTACAATATCTGACACAAATCAACTTTCTACGGCTATAAGGAAAAAGTATCCACTCCCTAGATTTTTCTCTCTTAAGATCTCTGTGGGGGTGTGCTCTGGGCTACCGGTCACAGAAATGGAGGCTAACATCTGATTCTGGTTAAGAAGGGCAACCCCTATGTGCCACAAAGCCAAATGCCCCCACATGGGAGATGAGGCCCTTGTGCCTTACCCTAAACAAGAGATAGAGACGTGCAACGTGGAGAGCCGTGTATGCTATGGGACATACTTGAAGCTACAAGAACAAGCCAGGTCACGCTTAATGCAAATATATTGCATCCTTCTCTTCTTAAAAAAAAATAAATAATAATTTTATAAGTTTGATTAGTAGCAACAGCTCTTGCTTCTCAGCCCTTTGACTCTGTGTGTGTTACAAAATACCACTCAAATAGCAACTAAAGCATTAGCACCTTCTATAGCATTCAGAGGCTGGTGGTGTTTCCCGGCCGGCTGCGTCCTTGCAGCAGTTACCTTGGAGGTGCATGGGTACCTTTGTCTTGTTGCTGGCGATGGAATTGGGGCACATGACCTCATCCCACTTGCTCTTCTGGGCGGCTGTGCTGGGACGAGAGCAGCACTGATGCACTCTCTCTAAGATTAGGCTATGACTTCAGAATGACAGTGATGTGGCTCTCCTTGCCGCTGCGCTGCTGAGCGCGTGCAGGAAGCAAATTCTAATATCAATTTGGGAGGATGTGCTTAAGTAATTCTTATGCTAATAGGATTTGTGTGTGTGTTATTCCATGCAAATAAGTTACCTTGGATACCGCATATTCCTGTGAACTATTTCCCAGCCTATGATTCTGATGGCACACCGAGCCACATCTCTCCAAAAACAGATTTCATTACTTTCACCTTTACTGGGTGATCTAGTTTATGAATGCTATGCAAACGTACCCAGATTGTTCAGGTTCCCTCCGTCAGGCTACAGGGTGATTCAAGAGGCCTGATTTCTTCCAGTGGCTCTGCCCATGGGCTGAGGGACCTCAGCACTCCTCCTCTCCTCTCTGTTTCTCTTTTCCCATTTTTAAAATGGCAACAGGGATTCTAGCCTTGGGGAAACCCTTTGAAGTCTGCAGAAAGAAAGCATCAAACAACATTTTCCTTTTCTTCTCTGTAGCATATGTGTCTGTGTATTTTAACAAATTTACATTTGATCTGTCTTCTAGTGATGAATTAGATGTAGAGTTACAGTTAGTTAGTCGTCACTTCAATTAATCCATACTTCATACAGAGCGTCTCCACTCATTATAGCCTGCTTCCAACCAGTACACAGCCTATACACTCTGTTTCTTGTGTCATTTTATCTGGTTTGTCCTTCAAAAGAGAGATTCTTCCCTACTGACACACCATGGATATCTTATCACGACAGCTGGTGGCAATAGTGCCAATAACATGAAGAGAAAGAGCAGTAAAAGTGACATCAGTTTACTCCAGACTTGGTCCAGTTACAACAGGAAATTGTAAAACTGCAATCAAGGTTAACACAAGGAATTTTTCTAGACAATTCTGTAGAAATCTTATTAATAATGTAAAGTCACAAAGAGAATTTTTAAATAACCACGGAGATGATGCAATGTTTCAATTATGGAGACACTTGAAACCAAGTACATTTGTGACAGCGGTCAGCACTTCTGTTCCCAAAGACAGCCACAGTCAAAACCCAAGATTTTAAAGCAGGATAGACAAGAAAACTCCCAACTACCCCTGCCCAGATAAAATATGCTTCAAATCCAGAGTACGTGAGCAACCAGATGCCTCTGACAGAATCTGCCATCAGCTTTGGGCTCAGACAGATCTCAGGAAGATCAGGTGCTATGCTGAGGGCTGCCCATCCTGCAGCGTGCTGCCAAGTGCTCAGCAGGAGCTTCACTGTTTGTGGCAGTGATGCACCAGGGTACAAGCAGGGAGTAACTATCTCAATAATTCCTTCAGGATGGCTGTACTTTTCATGGCATGTAGAGGGAAAAAAGTCAAAGCTATGTCCTCTGGTCATCATGGAACATCGCTGTCACTATTCAGTGAGACTCATGAAAATTTTCCAATACAAACTGTTTGACTGCATCTCTGCAAAGTGACAGAACAAAGTGAGAACTCTTGTCAGTGCAGATCTACAAGAAGAAAGGTGGCACAGCCCTGTGGAAGCTGTCATGAGCCCTGCATGGGAGAGGCTGAAAGGAGGCATCCAAGGGATGAAGATACAGTGGTGGTCCCTGAAGAACCTTACAGCAAATGTGGTTTCAACCAGTTATTCATCCTGGACTTAGTATAGTCCATTGATTCTTTGGTTTCTTTTGCATTGGAAAGCTTTTCAGTATAACCCCCTAATACCTCTATCCATCTGACATTGCTCAAGTCAGTAAGGCTGAAATCAAAAGAAGGCTCCACATGAACAAACTGGCTTTAAAACTCTGGGCCAGCTCAGCACCAGCCTGCACTGTGGGCAATGCCTTGGCTCAACGGTCAGTGCAGACATGTCCAGATGTGCACATCAGTGCTGGACAGGCTGTTAACATATCTTGATGCAGTCTACTTTTAGCAACCATCCCACAATCCAAACTTCAATGAGCTTGCTCAGCAGCTGCTAGTTAGGAAGCATCTCCTTTGCTAGTGTGCAAAAAGAACAAGTTCTTGTTCATTCTCCTTTATGGTCTGGTCTGGTTAAAACCTAATTTTGTTATTGTTATAAATAGAGAAACTTTTGAAAAGATCCAAGCACAGGTGTGTTCAAAAAGTGGTTCCATCCTCAGTCATTGTGTAGAGCTTCTTGATTTTAAGTACTGGTACAGTCTCTTGTGTCAGGTTTTAGACTCTCTGACTCTTTAAGTTACAAAATAAGACTCCTAGGGGACATCCACAGATAAATCAACATGAAAATTCTTGCTGTTTTCATATTGCACAGATTCCCTATGCAAGCCTGTGGGACACCAGGTAGTGCTGCTGCACTATCCAAAGAGGTTCAATATTTGAAGAGAGTTTGATAAATTCGGAACCAGTGGCTAACCCAGAGATACATAGAAGCTCTGAGAGATACAGAAAGTAAATATTGTGATTAACAGGAACCTTTTTACCTAATCAAGTAGGGCCAGGATTTGCATTTTTGTGCAAAGTTTCCAACCCCTGAAACCAGTTTCTAATGTCAGTATCTTGCACGCGAACAGTTATTTGCAGGCAAAACAAAGGCCAGGCTGAAATATGGCCTAAGCATCCAAACCCCAGCATGCTGCTCTACGCCAAAAAGTCAATCTTTCTAAGCAGGGACTGTCACGGTAAGATAAAACATTGCCCCAAGGTCACTGTAGTTGGAATTCCCATCAGAAGGTTTTCATACCTGCCTTCAGACGTGTCTTGTGAGTACATGTTTCAGAGAAACAAAAAGATTACATTTCCTTAGGAAGGCAGAAGACTCTGCTCCTGCAGGGTCGGTACCTGGGCTTTTCTGAAAGGGCGTCGTGGTGTGGAGGGATCAAAGCTGTCTGAAAAGGGGAAACTGCTGTTTGAACCCCAAGATCCTGGCTGTGATTGTGGTAATGCAGGTACCGTGAGCAGTAACTTTATGAGCTTAAAGCTCATATTTTAAAAAATAGATACTATATCTGGGTGCCTTCACTCTAGGAATCACCCCATTGGAGAATCAAACTTCAGCCTGTGAAAGTGGGCAGCAACTCCCCCCTCAAAGACTGAAATGTCTTTTAGTGCAACTTTAGTTATTTAAAGTACAGGCACTAATCTTTTCAGAGAACGTTCTGCCAATTTATAGGGATCTGTCACTTTTCTTTCAAGATAGTATTTTAAGGGCACCAAACTGCTCAAAACTTCGAGCCATTAAGAAAAGGAGGAAGAAAAAAAAAAAAAAGAAGGGGATATTTCAATGATTTTAAACTACTATTTGCTCACAAATATTGGGTTAACGAAAGATGTAGAAAAAAACAACCAAATCTCCAAGACCATACATCGTCTATCAAGAAAGAAGGAGGCACACCCCAAAGCAGGCAGAGGATGAGTTCTGCTCTTAGTTTTTACTCATTATGAATTATGACCTTCATAGAGAGAGGTGAAGTAATGTTAGCTATGGCACATAATTGGCAAGGTACGTTGTATTTTCCATCTTTATATTTTCACAATCATATTTCAGCTCATGTCACTGCAGATAACTCCCTCTTTGACCCTTTGGCTTTAAATAGCAGAAAATACATCCCATGTTTTCCAGTGAGATAAATAGAAATTTGTCTTTTTTATTTCACAGCTCAGTCAGTTTATGACCAGGGCCAAGCTGTTTAGCAACACACAGAAGAGGTACCCAATGGATGAGCACTTGCTGTCTTCCTGCAAGTCAAGCCTGCCCCATGTCTTGCAAGCTTAGGCCCTGTTTCCCATGCACCACCAAGTTATTTTGCCTCTTTTTGAAAACAGCTTCTCATTTTTAATCCTCATGAATGAAGCCCTTTAATAAGAAGATTGAAGATTAAATATAAAAACATTAAGCTAGCTGAATTAATACCAGAACGCAGACTTCTCTTTGAACCAATACACAGGTTCTTGCTGATCAGCCGAACGTACAAACATGAGAGCAAAGATGTGACTTGTGTGCGTTGCAGGATTGATACTCCAAGGTATGCATGAGTTGTATATAATTATGCTTAGTGATAGGAAAGTTACCTGTGCTGGTAATGTCTACATTTTCACTTATTTGTGATTCCCTTCTTGCTTTCCCTTCTGGTACCTGATTGGTGGTGATGGTGGCCTGGGCAGGTCTCGGTTAAGGAGCTTGGTGTTGTCCCATACTATCTAGTGAGGGGTATAAAGACAAGACTCCAGTGCTTTGGAGGGTGGTTTGCACTGTGGATTGGAGTTGCAGAAGCACTGGAAGTCATGGATGCCATGCTACCACCAACAGAGCTGCTGCAACCCACTGTTCAGTGGAGAAGAGGGGATATATTTGCAGTGGGCACAACATGTACATTGTGTATTCCAGAAAAGACTGAAAGAGCAGGGTGATATTTGTGTTCGACACGTGAAGAACAGCCTCTGTGCTTGCCCAGCACTGCAGCACTCATTCAGACTGCTCTGGATGAGGAATGGAGCCAGGCAGGTGTCAGCACCCAGTTTGTGCCAGCCAAGTGCTGACGGGTGGCAGTGGTGCCTCAGGCACAGGGTGCCTGTCTCTGTCCCAGCCAGCCCCAGCTGAGCTCCAGCATCACTTCCAATAGTGCAACACTTATGCCTGGCAGTGCTGCCATGGTTGGAAAGCTCTGAGGGATCACCAGCCTTTGGAGGGACGGGACAGCTTCTGAAAGCCTGCCAGACCCCTCTTTGAAGTTTCTCACATCTGAGTTCAGCTTGAGTGTGTGCTTAGCCTTTGCTCATTCTAGGCAGTAGGAAAGTGGAGCCATCTGGAAGCAGGAAGGATGGCTTGCTCACAGGTGGCTCTGTGGTTGCCCTCTTTTCCCCCTTGCTTTCTGTAGTTTTTCAGCAATTTCTGCAGGGCTGACAGCACAGGTGGGAGAAAGATCCCCAACCAACCTCTGGCAGCTCAAGTTGTGCTGATCCTCCATAAACACTCTTTAAATAGATCTGGTGTCTGGGAACATGATTTGTCTCCCACTAAAATCATTTTTTTTTCATTTTGCATGTTTGTTACATGCATTTAAAAATTACTATTTTTTTATTTTTAAATCATAGAGTTAAAATAAGTTGATGTTTAAGGATGAATTTAATGGGAATTGACTGCAAGATGAATTAATTCCTGGGCCTCCACCGAGTGGTGCTAGCTCATGGGTCAGGCAGTTGTTGAGGAGACAGTTGTAGCTGTTCATGCCAACGAGTAACATTTTGTTTAAACTATCTCCAAAAGCTCTTTCCTGATCTCATTGCTGAAAACATACTGTATACTTTTCCAGCTCCTGTCTGACCTTTCTATCAAGTTAGAGAAGGCAATGACTGTGCATTAGGGTTTTCCTGCACCCTTTCAGTTTCATAAAAGAGAGAAATCCTTGATGTTGCTGTCAGCCCACTGACTAGGGTCTGTTTTTACTGGGGAAGAACTGTTTTGCTTGTTCTGGTCATTGGCCAATGTGGGCTGAACATCTCACAGCGCGTGGTGCTCCGCTGTCAGTTCTTTTCCCTTTACTCTTTCCTTATCCTGTATTTTACTCCCATCCCCAGCAACAACCTGGCAGAAGCACACATTTTCACCTTATCTCCTGCTTCGCTAGCTTTCTTCATCCTCCTGAAACAGGAGTGCTCTACCTTCTATTCAGTATTTTGGATGCGACAGTCACCATTATCTACAGTTAAAATATATACAAGAGAATCTGAGAATCTCAGTGTTGTGTTGATATCAAAGCTAACAGTATGATCTTGAATTTTTAACTGAATTTTAAGATGAAATTTAAGGCACAGATGCACAGGCTTTATTTTTTCAGGCTTAGGCTGAAAAATAAAGAAGAAAGAAAAAAAAGAAGGGTCCAATTATTTCCCCAAAGTTATGGCTTCCACAAATTGTTTCGGGTCACTTCCAAAACTGGTTCATCTTTGGGAGTCCAGAATGGATGAGGTTGTGCCTTCCAACCTCTGCACGTGCTGAGATCAGGCTGGAGCAGGACCTCCCTTGTCAGCATCTGCAGGGTAACAGAGCTGCCTGCAAGGAGCCTGTTAAAGCAGTGCTTCCAACTGAGATCCTTTGCTGAAATTAGAAGTCCAGTGCTAGTATTTATAATCTAAAATTGGCAGGAAGACATATGTTCTCATGCTGATCCCACTTGGTAGCAAAAATCATGTTATGCTAAAGCAGCATCACAGAAGAGTTTCAGAGTGGATTATGCCTACACCTATCCTATTTGCTGACTTCTGAGAGCTAGACAGGCTTGAAGGCAAATTTCAACGCAGAACCGTTTTCTGATGCTGTCTCACTCTTGCAGTCCCATGAAATGGAACCTGGTGTAGTGCATTGCCTCTTTGAGGAGGGCCTTCTGAGCAGAGAAATTGCAACTACTTGTTGTACCCTCCCTGTTTACCAGTGCATTTTTCATTATGCTCTACTTGAAAAAGTGAGGATGTCGCTATGGATAAAGGTGGGACAGGATGAGAAAGATGCCACAGCTTCTGTCTGTGCTTGTGGCTGCACAGGGGCACTCAGAGCACTGCTTACGTACACTTAAAGCCAAGGGTTTCTGTTCCATGCTCAGATGTTCATAAAACGCCACTAACTCTAGAAAGCCTCACCTGCCAGTTCTGCAGTTACAATTCAACGTTTTATGATTTACTTTGAGGAATCCTTTCACGGTCTCTAATTCTGACTCAAGTTCCATAATAAACACAGTCATATTTCTAGGTTGATTTTAGGAAAAATTGGATATGGTTGATGTAGCATTTTCACTCCCCAGTTCCACCTGTTTTCTTTTTTTATTTGCTTCTTGAGCTCCAGCATTTCCTTCCCTTTTTGCTAAGGAGAGTTCAGTTTGACTACTTCTAATTCCATTTGGAAATGCACATACAAGTTGCCTGAATAATACATTGTCTCCTACTGCCTTAAGGAGAACTACCATTTCAGACAGTGAACATCTACAGAAATCAATACTTAGAAGAGCAGAGACCTGCTTATGCATGCAGATTTGCAGCACTCTAATAATAGCCATCTGATGTTTGCACTGCAGGAACTTGCCTGTCTCTTCTGACTCATGTCCCCATGCTGTGCCATGCACTTACAGCACTGTTGTCATTTCAGGTAGCAGAGAAGCAGCGTTCACCTATGCCATCATTGCTGCTGGAGTAGCCCACGCCATCACGGCTGCCTGCACACAGGGAAACCTGAGTGACTGCGGCTGTGACAAAGAGAAACAGGGACAGTACCACAAGGAGGAAGGATGGAAATGGGGCGGCTGCTCTGCCGACATCAGATACGGAATAGGATTCGCCAAAGTGTTTGTGGATGCCCGGGAGATTAAGCAGAACGCGCGGACACTGATGAACCTGCACAACAATGAGGCTGGGCGCAAGGTAGGTCCTCCTGCACCCCTGAAAGGCCCGGCCATGTCCTGCACCACGCCATGTGCTGCAGTGTGCTCCAGTGCCCGGCTCACGTGCAGTGGGCAGGGGACAAGGCATGGTAGGGCTGTCTGTCTGCCAACCATTTGTCTGAATGTTGCTCTTTGCAGTTGTAAAAAGAAAAAGCAAACAGACATTTTAACTGGAAAGTCAAATGGTTCTTACGCTAAAAAGCTCGCCTGCTACTGTGTGGGTGAATGGGATTCCCGTCAGGTTCAGACATGAACTTCTCACTCATTTAAAAAGGGATCATTTTCAACCCAATTGCTTAAACCTTGCTCTTTGTGTGAGGACTACCTCTAAAAGAGAAAAACACTTAAGCACAACGGCCACAGCCTCACTGTCACACACATGCAGTTACTGTTTTGCACTGCATTCCGCCCCTTTCCCATGCTTTGGGAGGGGGTTGCTGCCAGCAGCTCTCACAGCAGCAGCACTGGGGAAGGCGAGAACCCAGCAGCCCCACACACACGTGCCCTGCCTGCTCTGGGAGCTGCCTGCCCTGGCCTGGCTGCCTTTGCCTCTTGCTGTGTGCACCCATCCAGCCCTGGCCCTGCACAGGAGTGACCATCTCGTTAATCCCATCTTCCACAGCTTCCTGCTTTCCTAGCTCTGTTTTACTTTCTCTGCTGCTTGCAGTTCTGTGCATTAATCCTCATTTTAGCATTATCTTAGTGTGACTTAGAAGCAAATGGGAGAAGGAAGTTAGGAACAGCGATTCATTTGTGGATACTGTTTTTGTTGTGGTAATTACCTGTAGGCTCTGAAACATCTCCACTTAGGTACATATGCTGGAGCGAAGCAGATGGTATTGAAGACAAGCCATTTCCAACCCAAACAGAAGCTGAACCTTTCCTTTTTTATGTAGTACGACTGTAGTAGTTTTATAGGTCAGATTATGTCCTCTGTCCCTGGAAGTTTTAAGAAACATGTACATGTGGCACTGAGGGACGTGGTTTAGTGGGCATGGTGGTGATGGTTGATGGTTGGACTGGATGTTCATAGTGGTCTTCTCCAACTTTAATGATTCTGTTTCTTACACTGCCCAGTATCCCAAATGCTGGGGTCTTGCTCTTTAGTGCAAACATGATACTTCAAAGCATCAGCAGCTGACCATTAATATTGATGAATCAAATGACTGGAGGTTCAGTGACTATATTACCTGGCTTCTGGTGGAATAAAGATGTATATGGAAGAGCCTAGTGGAACATCGGGACCTAAACTGCTCTGCCATACAGGCACAAATCCACAGAAATCAGAACTAGCAGTGCTTCAGTTCAGTGGGAGAGCTACTCTCCTGAAAGGGCTGCTTTTATTCAGTAGGAGACTGCAGTAAAACATTTGCAAGTAATGACACACCATGATTCAAAATAAAAATGGAATGAGCTGCTGTCTTTGAAGATTATTTCAGATGTAAAGCCCAAAGATATAGCAAAAAAAAAAAAGTTGGTTTCATTACTTCATTGTATTTTTGGCTCAGTTGTCACCTAGGCATGGAATCAGGGCAAAGGAGGATCTGGTCAGTGCAAAGGCAAAGCATCCAGCAGCCTCCCCAGAAGACAGGAACTCCTTGCTTCTCACCTAGGTGTGCACAGTTCGCTTTCCTAAAAGTATATGCCTGGAAGATTCAGCTCTGCACATTGTTATCTGGGAGAACAGTGGCTGTGCTATCTCTGGCGATCTGCCATTTCTCCAGCAGGCTCAGGAACTGTTCTGATCTAGAGATATTTCTACGCTTCTTCCTGCATCCCTTACAGAGCAAAATTACTGATCTTTGTTCGAACAAATCTCTCTTGGAAATCTTCAGGGAAAAGAAAGAGTAACATGGCTGAGAAGAGGCATGTTACTCCACCAACCTGTGGAAAATGAACAAATGATGTTTTTGCTAGAGAGATTCCTTTCAGGCTTTTCACTTATGTGAGAGATCACAGTATTTACAGACAATTGGCAGAGAGAGGCCATTACAGATATTTGGCAAGCTGGGTCTCACAACCTAACCCTTTCACAACAAAGACCGTCTTGTTTTGAGGTGGAACTCTCTCTTTTGGAGCAATACGGATCTTATCAGCCTCTACACAATCTATTCTCGGTGGCTCTCCTCTGGGCTATAAATTCTTGTCTAGTTTTACTTGCCCATGGCGAGGTTTTTGATGGTATTTATGCACCTAGGAGACAGACTGGCACCTACCGGGCTTCCAAAAATAAACTGGGTGTTCAGTTCTCATTGATTTGTTATCTTCACCTATAGGCACTGCTACTGTATTCAAAAGTCAGCCTCTTCCACATTTTTGCTCTTGCAGTGTGAAACTGCACTGTGTGCTGTGCCTCACTCTGCTGGGTGCTCATGACCAACCTGTGAATCAAATATCCCAAGTTGGAAGAGTCGTGTAAGGATCACTGAGTCCAACTCCTGTCTCTACACAGGGCTGCCCAAAAATCAGACTGTATGACTGACAGCTCTGTCCAGACACTTCTTGAACTCCATGAAGCTCAATGCTGTGACCACTTCCACTAGATGCAGGTGACTCAGGATGTGCTCTGGTGAATCCAACATGTATAATAAAATGGTTGTCTTCTTGAGTGCCACCAAGCGATTCACGTGCCCCACCTCAGCAAGCTGGAGACAACAGACATTGAACTTCAGCAGGCATAACTGCTGGGCTTGCCAGGGAAACTGGGCACAGGTAGGGCTGCATGGTGCAAACTCACAGAGAGCTACCAGGAGAGGTGATCCAGTCTCTTTGAAGACCTCCATTCAAGGCTTTCCACCTTACGGTCTTGCATTACCAAGGCTGATGTCTTGCTGGTGCTACTGGTTCCTACAGAATGAACACCCATGCTTCCTCCCTCTGTTGCAGGGTGAAGCAATTAACAGTTTTCCATACTATTAGAAACCAGACAGGGCTCTGACTCTCCATTTCTCTTGTCTCTCCCCAAATCAGCTGGCCTCTGCTGTGTAGCACATCCGCAGGGCTCCAAACTTCCTCATCCACTCAGAGGGTAAGGGGCAGAGTTCAAACCAGGGGTTGCATACACCCTACAGAACTGGCCCCAAGTATCTCAAGAAGCCTTGCTTCATTTGTCAAATCCATTGGAGAGCAGCTATTTCTGACCTCCAGAATCAGAGTCCAGGGTGCCTTTCCTCTTTGAATTAGTATTTCCTGAAATGCTGATTCACTGCAGGAAGAAGTAAGCAGGACAGGGAGAACAAGAGGAGAATTCATAACCGCTGGGTCAGAAAAAAGATAAAGCCTTGAATTAATTTAAAGGCATAATCCTGATTTGCCCTGTAAACTTCCATGTGAGGGGTCATAATTGCAAGACTGAATTGTCTGTTAGCAAATTTGTCTTTTCAAGTACAAACATAATTGAATTACTGTAAGTAACACAATAATGTATGTCTGAGGGATGTTTATGCTCCAGGAAATAAAAATGTTATTCTCCCAGTTATTCTGCTAAAATAGCAAAGCAGGTGCTGAAATGTTCTACGTACTTTGGCCGTATCATTTTCATTTCAATAGCATGACATGGTACATGACCAGATTGCTCCCTCCTCTCTTTTTCTCTGTGACATTGAAATTCCACAAATGGCATCTTGCATCAGCGTTACATCATGTTAAGTATAATGCAATATTATGAGTCACTGTTATAAATCATGGCCACAGGCTACATTAGAAGGCTTTTGCAATTCAAGAGCACATCAAGGTGGATTTTTATTCAGCATTTGTCATTGGAGGCATACATAGGTGTGCTAACTTTGCAACTCATCTCCATCCTCTGAATCAGTAGCATCTCAGCTTTCTCTTTCAGCTCCAGAGCATATAGGATTGCCAAACATGCCTAATAGTGTTATTGTACATACAAAGCAAAGCTACCAGAAACCAGGAGGCATTTCTAAAGTGGATCATGCAATGATCATAACAAAAGGAAGTGTTTAGTATTGTATTCTTTAGGGAAGGCTGTAATAAAGCTGAGGTGAAACATGGGCATTTGGAAAACGTGGAGTTGGGGAGTTTTTCTGAGCTATTCTGTAAAGCTCACAGTTATGACACTCAGCCCTTTGCTAGCATCTCTGGCCGCAGGAGGCTGCAGCCACTGAACTTTGCTGAATCTCTTCCAGTTCTCACACAATGTGACCTCACCACACCACTGCCAGGATTCAGTTGTCCTGTAGAGGAGGTGGTTTATTCTGCTTCATTCAAATATGTTTTCCTTTAACTAACCTGCTACAAGAAGTAATGCTAATTCTTGCAGAGGAAACTTTTAAAAGGTAATAAGCACTAGCTCATTGTCAGAAAAGAGACTAATAAAATAGGCTACCAAACAATTTAGCCTTTATAATTTTCACGATGTTCTGGAGATTTAATAGCTCTGCCTGACCTTGGCCTTGATGTGCACGCACAGGCTCTGGTCCTGTCTGTGATGGGCCAGGGGCAGGCAGCGAGGGATGGCAGCCTGCAGCCTTGGGCTGTACCTGGGAATGGCTCCAGCCTCCTGATGCTCAGTGCCTGCTGAGTGCAGTGTTAGCAGGGCACCGTCGCTCATCCAGGAGGACAGCGGACCCACGGTGAAGCCAATAATTACTTTCCACATGTACACAGCAGCTGATTTTGGCCTCAAACTCTCTGCACGTAGCACAGCTGGCTAGTAGTAACCAAACCATGTATTTCTGTATTCAACTGCCTCACAACTCCATCAGAAAGAACATATCTAATGGCACACACACACCGGAATAAAACTTGCTTGTGTCTGGAGCTGCTGAAAATTACCATAGACTCCAGAGAGTCTAGGAGACCAGCTTGGAGCAGAACAGCACTGGGTGAGGCTGCCCTGATAGTCCTGGCACCAGCAATCAAGTGATATTATAGCATCAGCAACACAGCCTGTTTCTTGACGCCCAGAACTCAACGGTGCCCTTGCAATTGCACTTACTATTTTCCAGTTGTTTTTCA